TTAAATGAAATATTTAATTCACAACTTTTGGTAAGAAAATGTATGATATCAGAATGTTTGCCAGTCAAAGGATAATGTGTTTCAGAAACAAATATGTGTGGTGACTTGAAAATGTCAGTCATCTGATCTAGAGCTCACTCACATCCAGTTAAGTAGTGCTCTGGAATGCTTAAACTATGTGAAACAATCTACCAAAACACATACTACTTCGTAGACTTTATGCACATTATGTAGCATGGAATCATGACGCTTTTGAAATAATCTGTGCAGAAATATTTATTTTTAGCAAATATTTTCTTCAAAGATTGGTATGTGGTGTTGACAGTGTAATCTACTTGCACAACTAGTTTTGCAATAACCTTATACAAATAACTGTATATAAGAAACATGTAAATTTCATGTAAAAATGGTTGCAATTTTTGGTAGCTAAAAGAAGTGTACAAGTTGTATTGAAATATAATATATATACATAATTTAAGAATGGAGCATATAATTTCTGATCTATTTATACATGAAAAATTCAAGAATTTGTAAAAAGAAATTATTTTGGGGAAAAAAAAGAAAGTAAATTTCATTAGCTAACTAGATACTTTTACTAGAGAAGCCAACTATTTCCAACATTTAACTAGGTACAGAACTACATTTAGGCATGGTGGTGCTGCTGCATTTCACACAATCACACAATTGTAACATTGCTACAGTTTTTCTGAGTTCCATTAGGTCACTAGTAACTTGGACTGAGTGGTTAAAAAATGTTACTGTAAAATTAAAGAAATAGAAAATCATTCCAGTTAATGCCCTTCAAGACCACAGCCGTAACTGACTAAAATAGTGACTTGATGGGTAAAGAGGTCCTAACCTTCATAGAAATAATTTACTTTATAATGTGTGCTTGATTCATTTTTTTAATCCAAAAATGAAAGTATCCAGATTATTATTTTATTTGGTCTAAGTTTCATACCTCCTTCACACTCTTCTCTAATTGTTTCTCTAATATTTAGGAAAAAGAATAAAGTATTTTCACAAAGTTTTTGCATAAAATTTGCCGGTCATAATGTAGCTTGTACTAAGCATAGGATCATTTGTTGTATTTAGAGGCATGGATTTCCTCACCATCAATTTTGTAAAAACCAAGAGAACACACCTTGTGTGATAAATGAAAAATTACATCAAACTGTAAGTGAAGCTGATCAGAAATGTGGATCTAAGTACAGCAAGCAAAATGCCTTAAAATTGCCATTAGGTAAAATATTTATTAAGTTTAAATAAGTTGAGGGCCTTTCATTTCATAGTTGTGGGAACTAAACTATGCATTCACAATTCAGTAAATCCTAAGATTATTTTTAAAAGGCCTACAATTTTCAAAAGAATATATTATTCTTTAATTACTATATTTCTGGAGCCATCACATGAGCATTGTTTATTCAGATTATCTTTTGAAAGTTCCATAATCAGAGAAAATAGGATTAATACAGCCAACTAAAATGAAATAATTAATTATGTGCATGTAGCTGTAAGTCTTTGTATTTTTATGCTTAAAAGAAAAGTTGGGAACCCTTACAATGTAGCAGAACCACAAACTGACATATGAATATGTCTCTAAGTATAAAACGTGTCTCTATTGGTCTTAATCTCTATTAGCTTTACAAGTGTTACTAAAGGAGCACACATGAAGGCATAATAACACATAGGCACAAGCCCCATCCCTAACTCTCTTGCACACCATAGTGATGTAGGTAGGAATGCTGCCCATATCTTTTTACTATACAGTCAAATATACAGAAGCAAGCCTGAGTTTTGAATGATCTCAAAATGATACACAAAGATACATATTATCACGCTACTTGTATAAAACGAAAGTTAAATACATACATCACTTTTTCTTATATGCCTGAAAAGTACATGTTTCAAAACAAGTAGGAAGTGACATGACAGGAAATCATTAAAAGCACAGTGTTTCATTAGTGAGCTGATCATGAATCAGAAATTTTTTTCTAAATTTCCCAAAATTTACCTGAAAAGTAGTTTTGTGCTCAGTATTCTAAATTAGATAACAATTTAAATGTAATATTTGGACAGATACTTTGTTTTGATCCCATTCTAGACTGTAAATGATTTGAGTAGACCTCAATTAAAATCTCTGCATTCATTACTACAGCAGAAGTTCCAATTGGCTGTTTGTTTTTATCATCTCATACTATGTATATATGCTAAATATACTCTTAGGTGATACTCATGCCTTTATTTTATATGGATGTGTTCAGTTCACATAGAAACAATTAAAGTAACACAAATACTTTAGTACAAGTTGGAAGAGAAAAATACTTTTGGTTACATTTCAAAGTTTAAGGAAAAGAATGTATTAACCTAAGAGAAGTATTTAATGGTACACAACAGAATGGTTTTATCTGATTTTTAACAAATTTATTTCTGTCAATTTCCTAGAAACTTAAATATAAAGAAAAAACATATCATTTATTTGTTAAACATAGGAAATAGAAAAGCACATTTCTGACAAAAGGTTTTTGATTTAGTAACTACCTAAATTTGCAAGTAAACTTAATCTGTATATTTTAATTAAACAAATAATCACAAATTGATGTTTTTGTTATTTTTAATTGCACAGAGTTTAAACTATCTAAACAAATTCTACTTTATTCCAGGGTAAATAAATTCATTTTATGAAAATAAATATATAACTTTACTATATTTTTGTTACTATTTTTTTTCTGGGTGCATGCTTAGAATAGACTGATGAGCACATTCGTTAAAATTACATTTAAGTGGACCAAATTTAGATTATTCACATAGTATTGACTTTTTCCCATGATGTAATTGAAATGTGTAAACTGCCACTCAAAATAGAAATGCAATACTTGATATTTAATCATTTGGCAATCCTTTAGATCTAGGGAAATTAATGCACCATTGTTTGAAGTGAAGCTTCTCATCATGATAGCATATACGTAACAAATTTTGTATGATACAAACTTTACAGCAAGCTATTTGAATGTTTATTTAAAAAATCTCAAAATGACATGGAAACATGTTTACTGTATAAATAAAAGCACTTATACATTAAGAGTGTACATTATTTGATAATTTACCTTATCATAAGGAAAGTGGGGTATGAGTTAGCCAGTACAAACTAAGCCTATTTTCACATTGTAGCAGTATTTCTCCCTTAATCTCTACCTAAAAGCATCCAAAAACTGAACCAGGTTTCAACAGAAAAATCTTGGTAAAATATCATTTATACTTAAGTGCTTGAAAGTTGTTCATTTTAAAACTGTAAAATAAGCCGGGCACCAGGGGTTCACACCTGTAATCCTAGCTACTCAGAAGGCTGAGATCTGAGGATAACAGTTCAAAACCAGCCCAAGCAGGAAAATCCGTGAGACTCTTATTTCCAATTAACCACCAGAAAACCTGAAGTGGTGCTGTGGCTCAAGTGATAGAGCATTCGCTTTGAGCTGAAGAGCTCTGAAACAGCACCCAGGCCTAGAGTTCAAGCCCCATGACCAACAAACAAACAAACAAAGATTAGATCATCATGGTACTCAAGTTTGGCCAAAAAATGTATGAACTTTAGGTTTCTATGTGCTAGTGTACTTTATTAAACCTCCTTGGGGGAGGTGTAACTTCTAGGTGTTTGGTCATAAAAATGCTGCACAGATCTCCTAAGACCAAAATTCAAAGAAACATCTTTCAAGAAAGATGGGTTATGGCACAGACATTTCTATGAATAATATTATGTTACTGACAATTTAGCACTTGTAAGTTCAAATGCCAGGTTGTTGGAGTCACACAATCACCATTCTACAACATGCATAGTACTCTGTGTGTTTACACTATATTACCATTTTTTCCTAGGAAATTTTCAATTAGAAGGGATATATTTTATGGCCAAGTTAATGTTAAGTTAATATGTAAGTCTATAAACAACATCCAGAGAGGACAAGTATATAATGTACTAACCCCTTCTTATATAACTGACCAAGCAATTTTGATGGCAAGGATGCTATAAAATAATATCAATGTCAGAGGGACTCTACATTACTCCCTTTCTAAGACTTTAAAAGCAAAACCTGATTTAAAATCCTGTATATTTGTAAAAGGTTTTTGCCAAGATACAGCTATCCACCTTCATTCTCAAGAAACATGGAAGTTCATAAAAACTATATATTATTTTATCACTTCATAATAAAATTATCTTCATTTGTATTCATTTTTAGCTGAAAATATTCAGTATCTAAAAAATGTAGTTTATTAACTTTACATTAAGAAACACTTAGGGTGACTGCCAAGATATAAACTAAATTAAGTGTTGCAATTTATACCAAGGATCTCAAATACTAAGAACTTGGTGATTCTGCTTTGCAATTTCTGTAGAAAAAATAAAGCAGAAATAATGCTATAGACCTTCTTGTGTTTAATACCCTAAATGACACAGATACAATCAAGATCTTTACAGATACAATCAAGAACTTTACCAAATCAGAAACACTAACTGATGTTTTTCAATAAACCAAACTTAAAATTCATGAAAATTTAAGTGAAGTGATTCTTAAATTTTTATAAACAGCTGATATTACAGGCTAGCAGTGTTATAATTTATCAGAACAAATTTAAATGCTGACATTTCACAGAAAATGTGCATCATCTCCAAAACACAAAACTCAAGATTTAAAATAAAGTAATATTTTAGATGATCTCTGTTTTCACTAATGAAATAGCATATGGAGAAAAACACTGTTTATTTGAGAACGTTTTGGTTGGGAATGGTGAAGTACATGAAGAATCTTTGCACTCACCAGGCTGAGGCAGGAAGATGGAGAATTGGAGACTGATATGGGATATGTGGGCAGACCTTGTCTCAAAATAACAAAACAAACAAAATTAAGCAATAAGCACTTTCTTTTTTTTTTGTTTCCACAGAAGACAAAGTACATTGAAGGAAACTATGCACCAAAAAATGTACTAGACTCAAAATAGTATAAATTTGGGGGAGCTATATAATTTTCTTTCTTATAGACAGACGTACAGTGTCCTTTTCTCTGACTATGTGATCAAAAAATAAATATTATTACAAAGATGGCACCAAGTCCATACTTATGACTCCTAAATACCCACAACTACAAATAAAAAATTCAAATATATAATTTATAATTTTCAAATAAATCATTTAATCTAGCTTTTATCATTTGCCTTCTTATACAATCTTTTGTATGAGTACAATCCTCTATTTTTGTTAAAAAATTAAGGTTAAGCAATATTGATAACAATTAGTGATACTTATACAGTGATAACTTTTGCAAAAGAAATAACATCAATTAAAACATCTTTTATTGCTTTTAACTGTGTTTAATAGTAAAAACATATAGAACGAGAAGAGATTTATTAACAAGTAGAAACATAAAAAGCCCCAAACCTTTTATTTAAGGAAGTCCAGTTCATTTCTTCCATGCAAAAGGATTCATAGTATTTCTGGAGCTTTCAAATTCTAGGCATTCAAATCATCATAGTGCCCTGCAAAAACTAATTCGTGAATACAATTATCATATGGAAAGCACAAAATTGTTTAATTACATTCCATAAAAACTCTACCATAAAATAGAAACTTTAAAACTTTACAGGTTTTTAAGCCAATATATACCAGTCAGGTAGTTGATCCTACAACTTCCATCAGTAAATATAACAAAAGCCCTGAACCGTCACAGTATGTAGTGAAATACTTTTTCCTACAGCTCCAGTTAAAACACCAGGCTCAGGTTCAAAGTAATCACTTTGAAATACAAAACAAACAACTAGGGCTGGGAAGGTGGCTCAGTGGTAGAGCGCTTGCCTTACATGCCTGAGGCCCTGTGTTTAATTCTTCAGCACCACATAAGCAAAAAGAAAAAAGCTGGAAGTGGCGCTGTGGCTCCAGTGGTAGAGCGCTAGCCTTGAGCTGAAGAGCTGAGGGACAGCACCCAAGCCCAGAGTTCAGGCCCCACGACTGACCCAAAAAAAATAAAACAAAAAAATATATATATTTCTCAGAGCTTAAAATATTCTCTCTATTTTGGAAAAGATTTCATTACAAGTAAAATTCTTAAAATAAATAATATTTTCCCCTTAAAAATGTTTGCAATCATGACTGTCAAAAACCATTCTAAAGCCGGGCATGGGTGGCTCATGCCTAAAATCCTAACAACTCATGAGCTGGATATCTAGCAATCGCTGTTTGAAGACAGCCCGAGCAGAAAAGTCCCCAGGAGACTCTTATCTCCAATTAACCACTCAAAAAATGGAAGTGGCACTGTGGCTCAAGTTGTAGGTCATTATCCTTGAGCACAAAGAGGCTCAAGGACAACACCCAGGCCCCAAGTTCAAGCCCCACAACCAACAACAATAAAAAATCCTATCATAAAATTTAAAGATATATTTAAATTTTATATGAAGCAAATTTGGTATTAGTATTTATAACAATCTGAATCTTATATTTGTACTTTGTTGAAAAGGATAGAAAATAATATGGGCTAGAAAATATGTTATTTACAGTAATATACCTCAAATCACTTAAATATCTTTCATTCATGTTTTTTCCTTTGGTGTGCCGGTGCAGAGGCTTGAACCCAGGGTCTCCAGTGAGCAGTTAAGTTTCTAGACAATACTCACAGCTGGCACTCTACCTCCTCTACCTCATGTGCTATACCTCCTCTTATCTGGTAAGAGATAAGAGTCTCTCCAATTTGTTTGCCCAGGCTTGTTGCAAACCTGGATTCTCAGATCAGTCTAGGATTATAGATATAAGCCACCAGAGTCAAACCTCTTATATATTTTGAAAACTAAGGACACATTTAGAACAGAGTATTAACGTCAAAGTGCTAAGCAGGATACTCACGTCCTCATATATGAAATTAACAAAGCCTTGGTGCAAATGGTCTCTTCTTCTAAAGAAATCTGTAAACAAAGAAATACTTTTAAAAATATTATCTAATTTTTTAATTTTTTTTTCCAGTTGTAGGGCTTGAACTCTGGGCATGGGTGCTGTCTCTCAGCTCTTCAGCTCAAGGCTAGCACTCTACCTCTTGAGCCACAGCAACACTCCTGGTTTTCTGGTGGTTTATTGGAAGTAAAAGTCTCAGGGACCTTCGTGCCTGGGCTGGCTTTGAATCACAATCTCAGATCTCAACCTCCTGAGTAGCTAGGATTATAGGCATGAGCCACTGGTGCCTGGTTTAAAATTCTTAATTTCAAATACATAATGTATAAAGACTAAATAATTTCACATTCAAATAAGTCTCAAGTGACTTACTGCTTTAGGCAACTAAGATACGGAGAAAAATTTCTAAAACACAGCTATCACAATTTTCACAATCTATACTCATTAATTTTAAAGCCTTAGAACTCTAGATTTAACAATAAACAAAGGTAACAACATTATTGTAAACTTGCAGAGAAATTACTAAAGAAAAACAGCTACACAATAGTAAACTGACTTTTAAATGACCAGTACCTGTCAATGCTCGAAGCTTTACACAGCAAGCAACATAATCATCAAAGAAAATTCTGCCATTCTTGCTGTAACGTTTAACAATAGCATGTAATGTCTGAGGACTCAACCTGTATCCTAAAAAAAAAAAAAAAAGATTGACAAGTTAAAACTTCTAAAACTAAATACCACAAGAACACTGCAACATTTTTTTCATTAAACTTGTAAGTATATTAATTTTCAACATTCATCTATAAAAATATATTATAAAAACATATTCATATTTAAAATAATATGTCAAAAACTTCGTGATTAACACTGTTTTGAGGTACTTACAGTAATAAAATCCTAGCTTGTAATAAATTCAAATCTGAGAAAAAAATTAATCTTTTTGTGTTTAAAATACAGTTTAATTGTGAAATGAGGAGGTCAAGAGATATTTCACAGGTTTTTAACATTGTAATACTTAAATCATTATATTATTTACAGAGTATAACAACAAGGATTGTTAGTAATCTTTACTCTCTCAAATCCTGTATTTCTTGTTGGAAGTGTCTTTTTATAGCTCAAAAGAATTTGAGGATTGGGGGCTGGGGGTTTAGCCCAGCTGTAGGGCAGCCGCCCAGCGCATGCAAGGCCCTGGGTTCAGTTCTGAGCCCTGGGAGAAAAAGAAAAGAAAAGAATTTGAGGATCAATTTGCTTATTTGAGTGTGGAAGACAATGGACCCTCTTGTACTACAGATGTACACTAATAAAATTAGTTTAATAAAACAATGAGATGGAGAGAAAAATATTATTCCTAACTTTTTACAGGCTCACACTTGTAATCCTAGCTACTCAGAAGATCTGAGCCAGCCCCAGCAAGAAAAACCAAGAGACTCATCTCCAATTAGCCTCAAAAAAAAAAAAGCTGGAAGTAGAGCCTGTGGCTCAAGTGGTTGAGTTCTAGCCTTAAGCCCAGAGATAGTGTGCAGCCCCTCACATCAAGTGCCAGGACCAGCACAAAAACAAACAAACAAATAAAAAATAACAAAAAAAATCTCAGAGACTGAGATGGACTTTGATCCCCAAATTGAAATTCTACCAAGTTACAAAAGGTTTCAAATGGTAAGTACTAACTGATGAAATACATTAACTATACTAAAAAAAAGAAATCAGAACAAATACATGTATAGAAGATCACTTAAAAAAAACTCTCATAGTTAAAATATTATCTTGTAGCTATGGATAGTTAAATTTTTTTTATCTTTAGGTCAGTAGGGAAGCATCTGCCTAACATAACTCAATCCTTAATACCAAAGTGATTATAATAATAATAGTAGTAATCATATTGTTAAGGTCTTCAGTTAGAATATATCTAAACCTCCAACTGTTGATGAAAAATATGTTCTTTTATTACTTAGCAAATTGAAGTAATTAAGATTTATTTGCTGAAAGAACAAAGATAGCTTACACAGATCCTAAGGTATTTTAATTATTCTTACCCATAACAGCAATGGCTTGACTTAGTTCATGATGCTCTACTGTCCCACTTCGGTCTTCATCTATGGCCATGAAGTTCTGCTTCCAGGCATTAAGAGCTGCCCAAAGCTCCTTGAATTCACTAAATCCCATTTTTCCTGTATAATCTCTCTGAGTTTTATTAATAAAAATAAGTATAGGTACTCAAGAAATGTGACTCCGAACTCCACATCACTGACTGAAAACGAAGTCTTCTTCTGCAAAGTTAGTCTAATTAACCGTATGAATAGATTTGTGTTTAAATATGGATCCTTCCAGACTTCAAACACACCTTAAAATGTTTTAAAGTCTCTAGCTTACTAATTTATGGGCATGTATAGCTAACAAATGCCTTAATATTTAGAAAGCATATCTCCAACCTGGCATCAATCACTCATGTCTGTATCATTCCTACCTAAACAATAGGTTAAGAGATGGGATCCCAGGTGGAGGCCAGCCTGTGCACTAAAGACCAGAATCCATTGCTAAATAACCAACAAAAATCTGGACTGGCTGTAGTCATTGTAGTAATGGATCGAGTGTCAGAACAGCAGCCATGAACGAGCAAGCTTAGTGTGGGCAATCATGAGGCCCAGAATTGAAGCCATGGTACAACAACAAAGAATAAATAAAAAAACAATAGCGTTATATGTTAGTTCTGTCTACTGCATTCAAGGATACATCCAACATGGCAATCATGATTCTGCAGGTTTCCAAACTGAAAGCTATAAAGTAAATTGGATATTTGAATTGGAATCTACTCAAATTCACCTATGGAAAATTGTGACAATGTTCATTTTCAAAACAAAATATTTTGAGATTCATAACAACACACAATCACTATGATCAGCACATTATCAAACATTGAACAATTATAGTAAAATATGACAAAAAGGTATTGTTAAGTTACTCATATCTAGTGAGAACAATAATAAAATAAGTGAAAATTACTATGATAAAAGTATTAAAGAAAAAAGGTTTCATTCTCCCTACCACGAGTGGCAAAGTAAGATTTAAGTTTGGCTTTCATTGGCCTAAACTCTTTAAGGTGACATTGAAGGGTTTTATGATCTGGCCCTTGTCTACCTCTCTGATATCTTCAAATGCTACTCCTTTGTGTGTTCTAATTCCTTCATGATTTGTGATCTTTGGTCTGCAAAATTTTAGGTTGGAGGTGTGGCACAAGTGGTAGAGTGTCAGTCATGAGTAAGCAAACTAAACAAGAATGTGAAACGAAAGGCAGTGAAAGAATGAGAGAACACAGAGCACATCAGGGTGATGAAAAACAACATCTAACACTATCAATTTAAGGAACAAAAGAAGTATTATAAAAAGGTAAAATTACAGCACATCATCATAATCATCACATAGTTGGGAACAGTACATACATCACAAAAATGATATAAATACTTTTTACTGATCCAACTCAAATTATTCTATAACCACAAGGCAAGGATGGGAGAATAGAACCTGCTTGAGTAGACTGGAGGGATGGATGACGTTAAGATGAAAAGAATTAAAAGTTCGAAAGTAGGCATGATCGTACATGCCTGTAAATTCACGATCCCAGCACTGAGACTGATGCAGGAGAACAGTGGGTAGAGGCCGGCCTGGGCTAGATAGGAGATTCTTTCTCAAAAATAAATAAATGGGATTTACAAAAATCTAGGCACCAGTGGCTCACCCCTGTAATCCTAGTTACTCAGGAGGCTGAGATCTTAAGATGACTGTTCAAAGCCAGCCCAGGCAGGAATGTCTGTGAGACTCTTTTCTCCAATTAAGCACTAAAAAACCCGAAGTGGTACTGTGGCTCAATTGGTAGAGTGCTCTCGCCTTGAGCTAAAGAGCTCAGGGACAGCGCCGAGGCCCAGAGTTCAAGCCCCACAACCTAATCAAAAAATATCAAATTGTCATTTTCATACTCATTGTATAGCATCAACTGATAAGTATTAAACTGAAAACTTATAATAATACAAGTATAATATTTTCAGGTCCAGAAGCAAATTTAAAACGAATTAACTAAAAAAAATGTTCAGAGCTTTTTCACATTACTGAGTGGCAAATATTGGGAAGATGACAGTCATTTTACAATTATTTAATGCATTAAATGCATCAAACTATGTGCACCTATAAGTGTTACAATTTTTAATTGCTTTAAGTACAGGGATAGACGAATTAGAAATGAGATTCCTACTCCAATTACAAAAAGAAGGAAAATATGTTCTCACGAGAATAAGTTCCACTAATTCCAGACTGGGTCAAACACATCTGAAGTTCTTCAGCATCCACTTCACCATCCTGTTAAAAAAAATATGTATTGTTCAAAACATTACCATCAACTGCAAAATTCTAGAGATTAGTATCAACCAAGAAGACATATTACAGATTATCACACAATGAATCATTTTCTCTGCTTCTAAAAAGCACAATGTCATAATATATTGCAAAACTGTGTCTTGTGAAAGTCCCTGTACTTCCTTTTAAAAGATTAGAAAAAGGACTAAATATTTTCAGGAAAGTCTCTAAATGAGTCCCATTTATTTGGAATATTAATTCCAAAAGAAAACTATATACAGTGAAGCTTTAAGTGTAAGACGAGAAGAATATCTTGCCTGCCACCACCATTAAGACCTCCAGGAATATTTCTCAGTCAGCATGCATCTTGCCAGTCTCCTGATTACTGTTTAAATATTCTTGTTTGAATTAATGAAAAAGAGTTGTTTGTTTTTTTTTGTTTGTTTGGTTGTTTGTTTTCTAAGCAAGCAAGATGTCATAATAGAAAAGAAACCTATTAACTAGTCTCACTATAGGATCTCTATTTTTTTCACCAATACATAGTAAAATCATTCACTGCAAATATCACATAGTTTGCCACAAATGCAAAAACAACTGTGAGAAAGGATCAAGCTGACCAATTTAAAACATGCTTCAAAACCAAAAGGAAGTTTGGCTAACAATCCTTATAAACACTATGAATCTTTGTTAATGAACTGGCAGAAAGAATTCCAATGATTCTAACTCAAATTTAAAACTACTGAGACATATTCATCTCAACAGACAATTCTTACAATATTCTCTGTGTAGCGAATCTTCGGTAATCGTACTCAATTTAAATTCAATAGTTAGAAAACTATACTCTGGGATGGGAGCATTGCTCATTGCCTAGTAATTTTGAGGCCCTGGGTTTAAACTCCAGTACTGATATCTATATCTATAGATAGATAGATTTATGAACATACTTCTAATGTGTTCTGAGCAGAAATCAACACTTCTTAAAAACCTATTAATTAAGTCTGACAGCTGCCACAGTCAATACCATCTCAGGGAAATGACAAACACAATGCCAGGCTGCTGTCGAATTGAAACAGTAAATTTCAAGACCTTTTTTTTTCAAGCTGTTAAAATAGAAACAAAGAGTAGGAAATTACTTTTTATTAGTCCTCACAAAGAATGGCATTTTTCCACTTAAGTTAGACAAAAATATTTTATGTTACCATCAATGAACTATAATTTTTAAAACTATAATTTTTAAAAAGCTCATTTTTAAATAGACAAAAGAAAAAGTAAAAATCTTATGTGTCAACATTCAATATTCATTTTTAAACAATATTCATTGCTTAAAATATTAGAAATTCTCATTCAAATATAAATTATACTTAGAAATTTGAAATGAAATCCAGTAAATGAAAATTCATTTACTTGTGCTTTCATAGAACTTGAGAGTTATAAAAACCTTTGAACACCCTTACTGAAAGTTGTTTACCCAGGTGTGTAAACATTCTCGAAGCATACAACTTCATATATTTTATAATAATATCTGAATTAAGAAATAAGCACTGCTTCCCTAAATGTGCAAAAAAAAAACCTAAATCATAATTTTGATTTACCAGTTAGTAATGATTATGATCAAGTACAGTAAATAACATTAGCAGAAGACTGAAGTTTCTAATTAAATAATAAGATTTAAATAGATAATTCATAAAAATTAGTTGCCATGATTAGGCTGATAGGGAGCAACATTTTAAGTTCAAATTCACTGAGTACTCGTTGTTACTAAATTAGACTATTTGCTTACTCATATATAAATAAAACAAGAGTACCTGCTTCATTCCTACCTTACAGTAGTATAGCTACGTAAAGAAGTAGAAGTAAAGTACACACTGAAGTTGAAATTGTTGGCATAGCAATATGTGTGGTATGTATTTGTTGGCCAGGGAGAGAGGGAGGGAGGAAGGAAAGGAGTGAGGGACAGGGGGAAATAGAAAGGGAGGAAGAGTAGGAGGGAAGCAGAATTGAGGGAGAGAGAAAGGGACCAGAATTTCCAAATATAATCTGATTATTAAATCATTACTGCTCAGAAAACGTCATCATATATTATAAATTAATAAATATTAATATATTAGCACATATGCATAATGAGTATACAATATTAATCTATAATGTATTCATATGTAATACAGGCACCTTTAATTAAACATTTCTGACAGAACATTATTAATTATGAAGAGCATCAAAAAGAATAGAGTTACACATATGAGTTCATATGACCAGAACAATTAAATCTGATTGTCTTCCTGGACCCCAAGTAGAGCTCAATACATGAAAGAATAAAATCCAAATATTTAAGCTAAAATTTGAAACTGAGAGAACTCAGGCACCTACTTGAAATCATTCTGAATTATCAATATTGGTAATTTTTAATACCTATCTGACAGTGATAGGTCAGTAGTGCAAGGCAATTTTTCCAATAAAGCAAAACTTAATGGAACTATCAAATAATCAACAATTAAATAATCAACTATCAACTTAGTATTGCTACTTATAATGTTGAGATAGTTAAGAAGTTTATGACTCAAATATAAAGGGTCAGTTAACATGTATTTATTTTCATTAAATGGATTCATTATATTGCCAAGTAGAGATGCTAGACTGATTATCAGTATAATACTATTTAAGAGTTCCTTACAAACAAGACAAGCATAATAAATTTAGCAGTTAGATTTGCATAAAGTTGAAAACAGCAGAATATGTTATTACAGTGGTGTGAACCACTAAATGCTTATTGTTTTATAAGGGAAGTATGGGGTTGAGTGGAACAGAACATATAGCAACTTAATTATGTCCTCAATTTCTGCAGTTTTCCACATGCTCTGTCAATATAGGTCACAAAGTCACTACAGCAAGGTAACAATATGGCCACTGGACCCCCTATCTTGAGTCCTTTTTCCAGGCAGGAAGAAAGAGATCAAAAGAAACCCAGAAAAATCTTCAAGAAATGCCTGTTACTTGGGAACAGAAGGCATCCCAAAGAAATACTTCCTACATCTCAAGGGCCAGGTCAATAGCAAATGGAAACCATTTGTAACCACACAAGTGTCAGAGTGTTAGAAAATTTCAGTTTCCACCATAGAAGAAATGACAAAAAGGAAGTTGTCAGTGGGATTGGGATAATCAAAACAGAAGGTGGAGTTGGTGCCTTGTCTCATGCCTGTGATCCTAGCTACTCAGGAGGCTGAGATCTGAGGATCACAGTTCAAAGCCAGCCCGGGCAGGAAAGTCTGTGAGACTCTTATCGCCAATAAACCACTAGAAAACCAGAAGTGGTGCTGTGGCTCAAACGGTAGAGCGCTCGCCTTGAGCTGAAGAGCTGAGGGATAGTGCCCAAGCCCAGAGTTCAAGCCCCACGACCAACAAAAAAAAAAAAAAAAAAACAGAATGTAGACCACAAATACAAATTTTTTGCATAACTTCTTGTCCTAGGAAAGTAAAGGGACTTATTGAATACTCAGGTGGAGGAGTGTCAAACTTCAATGTCATCAAATTCTGTGAAATTTACCTACTTCAGCAATCCTTGTTAACCATTACTAAAAAACAAATTATGAAAGAGCCACTGGCTCACACCTGTAATCCTAGCTACTCATAAGTGTGGATATGTAAGGATCATGGCTCAAAGCCAGTCTGAATAGGAAAATTCATGAGATTCTTATCTCCAATTAACCAGCAAAAAAGCCAGACATGGAGCTATATCTGAAGTGGTACAACACAAAAGTTCAGGGACAGAGCCTAAGCCCTGAGTTCAAAGCCCCTAGGACTGGACTGGCACAAAATAAATAAAAACTTTAAAAAGAGATAGGAACTAGAAGAATCAACCATGAATTCCTATCTTCCCATCATTCTGGCCCTTGACTTTTTATTGTGCCTTTTTTACTGTCTCCTGAACTTTTTCATTATTAAGCTTCTCCCCAAAACATCTCCAATCTACATGTTGCCTGTCTGATGTTCAGTCCCAACTTCCTCATGTGGTTTACATGTAGATCTTTCTCCAAAATCTCTCCAGCCCAGTTTCCATGAACCTATCATCATATTCTTTTTTGTTCGTTCGTTTTTTTGGTCGGTCGTGGGGCTTGAACCTCTGGGCCTGGGCGCTGTCCCTCAGCTCTTCAGCTCAAGACTAGTGCTCTACCACTTGAGCCACAGTGCCACTTCTGGTTTTCTGGTGGTATATTGGAGATAAGAGTTTCACGGACTTTCCTGCCCTGGTTGGCTTTGAACCACGATCCTTAGATCCCAGCCTCCTGAATACCTAGGATTACAGGCGTGAGCCACCAGCGCCCAGCCCTATTTTTGTATTCTATGCCCACAAAAATGCTCCCATTTCCCTTGATAATTATTAAACATATAAATATGTGTAAATACAGTGTTCTCAAATATTTTATTAACAACCACAACTCAGTTTATAACTCTTCTAAGAAATGTTTATGTACTAAGAAACAAATAGAACAGGTGTTACAACATATACTAAGAAACAGTAAAAGACAAGCTCATTTATCTCAATAACAGAAAACAAACACTAATATAAGTTCTCTTTAATGTGTTTATCTTAATTGATGTACAATTTATATTCGATATCACTTATATACACTATGCTTAAATTTACCTACATTTACTTTTTTTTTTTTTTGGTAGTGGAGTCTGAACTCTGGACCTGGGCGCTGTCCCTCAGCTCTTCAGCTCAAGGCTAGCACTCTCCCACTGGAGCCACAGTGCCACTTACAGCTTTTTCTGCTTATGTGGTGCTAAGGAATCAAACCCAGGGCCTCATGCATGCATGCAAGGCAAGCGCTCTACCACTGAGTCCCTTCCCAGCCCCCTACCTTTTAGTGGTACTGAAGTTTGAACTCTAGTCCTAGCACTTGAGACTGGCATTCTGTACCACTGGGTCATACCTCCAAACCTATTTTTTGCTGGGGTTTTTTTTGGGAGGGGAGGGGGTCAGTCATGGAGCTTGAACTCTGGGCCTGGGCTCTGTCCCTTAGCTCTTCAGCTCAAGGCGAGCACTCTACCACTTGAGCCACAGCGCCACTTCTTTTGCTGGTTATTTTTAAGATAGGGTCTCTTCGGGCCCAGACGAGTACCTGGGTGTAAGCTGTTCATATGTTCAAGACCCCTGGAAACTAAGCTAACAGACACATGCTACCATGTCCAGCTATTCATTGTGAAGATGTTTTGTGAACCTTTTACCTGACCCAGCTGGTCTCTATCCTAATAACCTCAACCTCCCAAGTAGCAAGGATTATAGTGTGAGCCACAGGCACTTGGCTCATTTATTATTTCTTCATGATAAAATTTCAAAATACTTTCTTCTCACTTTTTCCAATGCACAATGTATTATTGTTATGTACCATCACCCTTCTGTAAAAGAGTACCCTAGAACATCTCACTCCTACCTAACTATACCTTGGGACTTAGAAGTAATTCTTTAATGTGTCTGAAATGATCACATATGATATAGCATAAACAGCTAAATTTATTGTTAAATGAACTGTTAATCAATTGCTTCAAATAGTTAATTTAAGAATCTACTCTTTCTCCATTGACATAAAATGCTACTTTTACTGCAACCTGAATGTAGTATGGCCCTTCTACCTTTTTGTAGTATGTGTTTCCTTTTACTGTCATTTTCCACATAGTACCTTCTCAATCAATAATAGGCCACATAGTAGGTGGCAGATGGACCCATAGTATAATAATGAACCTGAAAATTTTTCTATCATTTAGTGCAATGGTTTGAATGAATGCCCCCTCAAAGGTCCATCTGTTTAAAGAGTGTTCCTGAAGGTAATGCAGTAGAAAGGTGCAGGACTTTCAGAAATGGGACCTGGTGGGAGGTCACCAACTCATAGGAGAATGTCCTTGAAGATGACTATGGGGTTTGGGTATCATCTTCTATCTGACTTCTTGTTTATCCATTATGCAATCCCACCATGGTGCACTGCCTTGGCCAGAGGCCCAAAGCAATGAACCCACCCAACAAATGACACCTACAGAACCATGAGCTCAAGTCATCTTTTTTTCTTTCTAAGTTAGTTGTTTCAGGAATTTCATAGTAATAAAAAGATGACTCTCTATACATATATGTGTGGGTGTTTACATATACTAAATATTAAACTATGCTGTGCATTATTCACAAGTTTATGGTGATAACTATGTAAACAAATCTATAGCACTACCAGTCACATAAAGATATGACACATACAGTCATGTACATGAATAATATTTGAAAACGGGTAATAAGCAACCATATCAGTAATTTGTATCCTTATATGCTATATACTCTATTAGCATTTTAAAGTGCACTTCTTCAACTCAAATAATTTTAATGCTTTTCTGTAAAGTGTGCCATATTGCAGTGGCAGCAAAACATCATACATTTCATTTACTGTAAAACGATTGACCTATGTATGTATGGTATGTATGGTATGGTATTTCTGTATGTAAATTCTATAATTTTTATACAAAAATGAAATTGCCTAATGACTCAGAACATATTCTTATCATTAAGCAAGGCATAACAGTGATTCTTTAAATGATTTTTATAATGTTTTATTATAGTTTAGTATTTTTAGTCTTTTTATTATCTTTAGTTGTACAAAGAAGTTGCCATTTAACAAAAGTTTTATGAACACAATACATCTTTATCAATAACTTTGTCAAGTAAAAATGTTGTAAAGAAAAAAAGATAAGAATTTGATTCAAATAACAGTTGGAAGAAATTGATACTTTATAATAGTGTTCTGCCTCAGTGTTTTGCCTATACTGCAGTGAACACAGATTTCTGATACACGACTATTGGTGCTACTAGAAAGTAAGCAGCCAATTCTGCAGCAGTGTCAATTGAGCTCTGATACTATCTACCGAGAGACAGCACCTGATCTCACAAGCTGAGAATTCAATCCCTACAATAGTCCAAGGCTAGGCCTCCAGCACTTCTGGATTATCAGTTATAAATTATAGTTCCCATGCTGCTTCCTCCTGTTCAGTGAATTTTCTAGAATGCTTCCCAGAACTCAGGGGATCACTGCACTGAAGAGACACACAGGGCAAGATATGAAGGGTCCTGAGAGCAGTAGACTCCGTTCATGCAGTTAGGTATGCAATTATCCCTGCCCATGAATAGCTTATTGTTTGCTTTTGTGTGTGAGCCTTCACATCTTACCTCATCCAACTCTTTAAACTCTGTGCTCTTTATGTTTTATGAAGATTTCAAGGCATAGACGTGATTATTACCAGGTTAAGCAGGAAAAACCAGGAACGGGTCCTCCTTTGGCATTCTGTGCAACATCTCTTCCTACAAGGTATATGTTAGCTCTCTGAAGGAGAGTGTTAAGACATACTATCAGACCAGAATTTCTTTATAGACATCTAAGTGCAGAAGATTAGATTTTTCTATGATCTGGATGGAGGAAGAGAAATTCCAGTTTCTATGCCTTGATAGGGGGAGAGGTTCTGAGCCATGGGCTATGGACAAAAATAGAATACAAACACACATATGTTCAGACAAAACAAAAGTGTGTTTATATATAAGTATATCTATGTACATAATGAGGAGGCTATAAAAACACACATAAAGTGTATTCTTTCTCATCTCGAATATTTACTCAACACTTTATGCTGATGGTTGAAAAAATGACAATGTCATAATGTATATGAAATCATTTTAAGATGAATGTAGTGTTATATCAAACAGTAGAACTAAGAATAAAAACTTCATCTGACCACAATAATTGCACATGTTCAAGTACAACTCACACACAGAACTCACACAACTTGAATTGCTAGACTCACACTGCCCTTTTAATCATAACATAAATTAGGCTTATAAACAGCTTATCGAAAGGTATTGCAAACTGATAATTCCTATTACCAAAATATACCACTATGACAGTATTCATCTTGATTTTTCATTAAAAGTAGAAAGTATATCTCAGTGTTTTCTTTTTTATTATATCTTGCTTGCATATAAGTCGAAATTACAAAAAAAATGTTTATTTAACTTCACTTGGGAAAAAATGCAACTTCTCAGGTTGAACAAATTTATAATGTTTTAAAGTGATTTACTACTATATTATGTAATATATTTAGGTTTTAATTGATGTATACTTATATGTGTATGTATATATGCACATTTATAAATATATACAGACACTTAAATGAACTTACAACCAAGTTAAAATATTGTTCCTTGGGTTTTTTTGTTTGTTTTTTTTTTGGGTCCGGTCGTGGGGCCTGAACTCTGGGCCTGGGCGCTGTCCCTCAGCTCTACAGCTCAAGGCTAGCACTCTACCACTTGAGCCACAGCACCACCTCCAGGTTTTTTCTTTTTGCTTATGTGGTGCTGAGGAATCGAACCCAGGGCCTGATGCATGCAAGGCAAGCGCTCTACCACTGAACCACCTTCCCAGCCCAATATTGTTCCTTGGATATGTACTAATTGTTCTAAGAGTCTCTAACAGTTATTCAGATCTCCAATATTCATTTTTCCCTGCTATGAAAGGATGTTCAGGCTATATTTACTTAGCTTCATGTTGAATCAATCATTCACGGAGAATAGAATGTTTCTTAATTAATGTCAAATATAAAGAATAATTTAAAGTATTTAAGTACTTAAATTTGGGCTAAATACTTAGCTACTGGTAAAAGAAGCCAGTTCTTGAATAACTGCAGCCAGAGTAGTGGCTTCTCCACATTCTCTTGCAATAACAAAATACCTGATATTGGTAATATATAAGGAAAACAGATTCCATTGGCTCAGGCTTTTTTCTGGGAGAAATGAAGGCCTGGGCATCTCTCTACTTTTAATGAGAGTACACTGGCACTGGCAGAAAAGCTAAAAAGTCGAGTCATGTGAGGAAGAAAGTATATTTCCAAGAAAGAATAGGAGTAGATAAATCATTTAAAAATCCACTCTTATGGTAACTACAGGAATACTGATCAATTTTTTCAATGAGGGTAAACCTCTCAATCAAATTACCTCTTAAATATTAGGCTACTAAATGTCCTTGGCAAGTAAATGTCAAGGTGAGGTTTAGTGGGAACAAGACACACCAACCCAAATGCAGGAAGCATACGGCTAAATAAAATGACCATTTCCTCACTTTGAAAATGTTTCCTCTTCTCATCAAAACAACATATTAGACATCTTACAAACAGCCCTTTTCAAAAATGAAGTGATTCGGGGTGCTCTTTTAAATTTCAAGAACAATAGTTGTCTAGCTAAGAATTTCATATATATTTAAAATGGTACACTAAGTAAAATAATTGATATTTCTGTTCCATAGCCAACAGTTTTACAACCTGTATTTGGCACTAATGGTAACATCTTACCTGTCCAGCCACCGCAGTGAAGTAGGTCCACATGGGGTCACTGCTGTGTGAGTATGCTGCATATCCAGGAGGGCCACCAGCAAGCAAGGGTGGACATGTTCCTGGGACTGGCTGTCCTACCTGCATTCCTGGGATCTGACCACTAAAATTTCCAAACTACAAGAGTGGAAGGAAAGAAAGTTGAGAATTCAAAAATGTTATTGATCAAAGTTGATTTAAAAGCAAATATTCACTACAGATCTACTGAAAAGTACACATGTGGTTATCAAAAGCTTCCAACTACATAGTCACCAATGCCTTCACTAAAGAACACTGGATACCTCATGTAATGTTTCATGAATGTATGCTGCCTATAATAATAAAAAATGAAACTTCTAAACACAAGAACATGAAGAGCAGTTTTTAAACATATTTACCATCATCGCTGCAGAAACATACATACATAAAAACACATACAGTTCCACCTACAGTTAAACTAAGATGTATGCCCCAAGACACATACTTGGAAGAAAACATAGTAAACAAAATAAAATCGTGGTCTAACTAGCAGAAGTTGCATAAAACTGAAACACCCTGTCTGACAGAAAAGATTTTTTTCTAAAATGGACAAGTAAAAAGTCAATAAAGTGACTATGCCAATAACAGTCTTTTCTAAAGCTAATAAAGTACCAAGATTACTAGCAACAATATTAATAAGTAACTAATATATAAGGCTATTGTACTCCAAGTACTATCCTAAGAACTTTCCATCTATTATATTGATTTTTCACAACTCAATGAAAAATAGAAGTATTATCTCCTTTCTTGTAGTTAGGTTTCCTGAACTGGTAAACATCAAGTAAGTCAAGCAAGAAGTAACCTGTGTCCCCATATTGAGGTGGTGTGACCTTGGGGACTATAACTTACTTATTTCTTGCTATGGCTATGGTTGCATTTTTCGTTTTTTTTCACTTTGGACTTGGACTATGTTTTCTAATACCTTTGCAAATCATTTTACTCAGCATTTTTATGAGTACAGAGGAGGAAGAAGTATTAAGGCTATTCATCATTCCATTCAGAACAAAAATTATCCTTGAAGAATGATGAGAAGTTGTCAGAGACAGAGAGAGAGAAAAGAAGTATCTTCTATACTCTCTCCCAACTCCTCTCTTGGTCAATATTGGGCCTTGACCTCAAAGACTGAGTGCTGTCCCGTAGCGACAGTAGGACGAGTTCTCTACCAGTTGAGCCACAGCTCAACATGTCTTTCTTCTTTCTTTCTTTTTCCTTCTTTCTTTCTTTCTTTCTTTCTTGCTTGCTTGCTTGCTTGCTTTAACTGAAGTCAGGGAGGAAATATTATGGGAGGAATCTATCTTTGGGAAAATCCTACCTACCTTCCCTTCTGAATTTCCCAAACCAAATTCCTTAAATGCAATGATTTGACATAGCAATCAAAGAAAAGATGGTTAAAAACTATCACTCCTCCATCCAAAGGCACTGTCCCCTGAAGCTGTAATGGACATTTCACCTTCATGGGGGAAAACAGAGTAGGAAGCACCATGTCAGCTCCAGGCTTTGGTCTTGCAGAATGGGATGAGCACATTCTGTTCTGCAGAACAGAAGAGCCATGAAGAAGAGGAGACCAACTTCCAGAGAACTGGATCCCTAGCCAGAAACGGCTAATCCAAGACGCCTGAATAAATTCATCTTTCAGCTTTTTTCTTGATAGCTTCAAGTAAATGAAAACTGACCATGAGACAGGCAGTTATTTTCTAATAATATGATTGAAAAAAACTATTGTTTTTTATGTTTCTGAATTTTTAGTAATATCTTTGGTCCTTAGCTTTCTTTCCCAAAATTTTCAAATTACTTGGTCTTTTTTATGGTTAGTTTAGTTCAGACTAAACCAAGCATATATAAATTGCAGCAATTCCCAGTAGTCAGAAACTGAATAAGAGGCAAGTAATCAAGATTTAACCTCACCCTCAGTTTATTACCAGAACAAACCTCAAAGTTCTTGAAGATAGATAGATAGATAGACTGACAGACAGACAGACAGATAGGTAGATAGATAGATAAAGATTACATACCAGCTCCTATCATATAAAAAACAAACATGAAATGTTTCTTTTTTTAATATTTACAGAGCTAACATTTTTCCTTTTATTCTTTTTTCTTACTTCAATATCTCCAAGTTTTTCTTTCATTCTTTCTTTCTTTCTTTTTTGGGGGGTCTGGTCGTGGGGCCTGAACTCTGGGCCTGGGCGCTGTCCCTCAGCTCTTCAGCTCAAGGCTAGCGCTCTACCCCTTGAGCCACAGTACCACCTCCAGGTTTTTTCTTTTTGCTTATGTGGTGCTGGGGAATTAAACCCAGGGCCTCATGCATGCAAGGCAAGCACTCTACCACTGGGCCACCTTCCCAGCCCTCCAAGTTTTTCATATGTAAAACTTACATTTCAAAATATCCATCACCCTAGCATACTTAGCATATATCACAAGTATGCATAGAACTAAATTTCTTTTATTTCTTTCTGTGGCATTATTGGGCTTTAACTCAGAGCCTACCTCTTTGCTTTTCACTCAAGGCTGGTGCTCTTAAGCCACATCTCAAGCTCTGTGTGTGTGTGTGTGTGTTTGTGTGTGTGTGTGTGTGTGTGTGCATGTGTGCATGTGTTCTTGGGCTTAAACTCAGGGAACTGTCACTGAGGGAATTTTGCTCAAGGCTAGTCGTCTACCACTTGAGCCACAGGTCCACTTCCAGCTTTTTGGGTGGTTAACTAGAAATAGGAGTTTCATGGACTTTCCTGCCCAGGCTGGCTTTGAACCATGATTCTAAGTATCTAGGATTATAATTGTGAACCACTAACACACAGCTTTTTTTTTCTTGGTAAATTAGAGATAAGAATTTCATGGACATTTCTTCCCAGTCTGACTTCCAACTGCAGTTCTCAGATCTCTACCTCCTGAGTAGCTGGGATTACAAGTGTGAGCCTACAGTATCTGGGCAATCTACAACTGAAAACTTAAGTTTTGTTTTATTTCCTGAGACCAAAATCAAACAAAATTCCATTAGTTATAATTCTTATTAATATACAGTTAGTCAAAAGAAAAACAACCAAATTTGAGAAACAATTATTAAACAAGTAAAAATGTATTTAAGTGTATCTACTAAGTAGATTAAACATGTAGCTCATTAGATAAAACTATGTTAATAAACAGATGTAGCAATGAACACTTAAAAGTTTATAATTTTGCTAAATGAAGAAAACATCAATGAAGAGTATATTGATTGTAATTAACATGATTGTTAAATGAGCTTAACTACCTCATTAATATGCTCCAAGTTAAGCAATACAAATAATTTTTGAGTGTGCATGCCAGCCCTGGGAATTCAGTTCAGGTCTTGGGCACTGACCCTGAGTTTTTTGCTAAAGACTAGTACTCCACCACCTTGAGCCACAGCTCCAGTTCCAATTTTCTGGTGGTTAATTGGAGATAAGAGTCTCACAGACTTTCCTGCCCAGGCTGGCTTTGAACCAGAACTGAGATCCTCAGATCTCAGCCTCCTGAGTGGCTAGGATTATAGATGTTAGCTATCAGCAACAGCCTTACCAATGCAAATTCTATCATATATTTAATCCAGCATACATAGATATATATACATAAATATATTACACTTAAAGGAATCCATGTCCCTAGACTCTAGTAACTCAGCAGCTTGAAGGTACTTTTCTTTCCAGTTACAAATAATAACCATGAAAGGAGATGAAAAGAGCTGCTATGTTTAAATAGAGAAGAACATTTAAATGCTCAAATACACTCCTATGTTTCCTTTGACAAAAGTTGAGTGGATAAGTAGCAACTTCTACCAATAAAAATCTGTCACTCCAGCCACTATATTCTAATCCAATGCTTCAATCTGAAGAATATATGTAGAAGGTGGTGAAAAATTTAAAGTCCCATGTGTTTATGCTGTCTCTACTGGTCTTTGAAGGAGACTTTATCTTCCTTAGGCACTTTAAAGTACCTTGGTAAATTTAAAGACAAATGAAGGATAGACAAAGTGGGAAATGCCAAATATAATTCAGGAAAGTTTTTCAAGCAAATCAGCTTCAGTAGAGTATTTAACTCCAAATAGAGGATGTGGAGATTCATTACCTTGAAACATAATTGCCACTTAACTTCCAGGGATGAGTAGGTGGTTTGAAGACAGCTACTCTAAGCCAAACTCAACCTCCTTATTTAACCAACAAAGCATAATTTCTGTGTTGAGGTAAAAGCAAACTAATAAAAACAGAAAGCATGTTATACTCTGCCTACTTTCAATGGCTCACTGGGCACTCCCACTTTGTAACCAGAATGTGTGACCAGGCTTTGAAGATCACTGCTGTAACAAATACTGAAGATTTGGGTTCCTTCGCAGAAAGGAATGACCCACAATTACAACTCATAAATCTCAATGTGATGTAGGACAGTTAGTAAATAAGAAAGAATAATCTTCCCCCCCCCAAAAAAACAAAGTCTAGGAAAAAGAAAAGAAACACACAACAGATGGTCCTTGGTATAACACAAAAGTTCAGGAGCTGTTTAGAGCACCTCTTAATTTATTCATGAGCAACTTAAAAAGGAAGAACGAAACAAAACAAGAAATGCCCCCCTCCCAAAAAAAATCAGAAAGAGGGTCTGTTACTGGAACAAGGAAGGTGTGTTTTGTTTCTCTCTTCAGAAAAGAAATTTTAAAGCCACGCCACAGCCTGAACTCCCCCGAAGACAGGTGGTGCAGGTCCTCAAGGACTAGAACACCTGCCACTCCTGCATTGCCTCCCTCCCTCCCCGCCCCCGCCCCAGCCCGCGCGCCCCACCACCAGGCCCAGGCCTGGCCCCAGCCTGCCCCGGCCCCGCCCGGCCCGGCCCACTCCCCGTGGTGGCCTGACACCACTTAGGAACGCCCGCTGCCCGGGGAGGATGCTGACTGGGGAGGGTGGACCCCGCAGGGTGGCACCTCCCCAGGGTCACTACACCCCGAGAGCACAGAGGCCGCAGCGAAGCGGCCCGGACTCACCCATCCTCCGAAACCTGGGTAGGCCATGAGGCTCCGACGGAGGTCTCCTTCACCCTCAGTCTGTCCCGTGGGAGAAAGGCACTAGGTCCGGTGCAGGTGCCCCTGCCCAGAGCTGCCCCTTTCCAACCCGCCCCGCTGGGGTCCAGCTCCGCCCTGCAAGGCTCTGATTGGCTGAACGCAGCCCACCCCTTCCCGGAGTCGAACCTTACTCTTCCTCGTCTCTGATTGGTTACATCCTGTCTCCTGGCGCCCAGTTTGTGCCTGCTTTGCTCTAATTGGCTCAACTTAAGTTCTCACCCAAGAAGCTTTTTCAGCGGTAATTTCCCCACCCTCTGTGGAAGAGTTCTCTAGGCCATTTACTCCTTGAGTTTCTTTTCTCTGTAGAAACTCAAAACCGTGTCCAGTTAATGAGTTGTTTTAACCTATTCCTAGACTGTAGCTGAACTTCAAGTAACACACCCGTGAGTTTCAAAACACACTTCTATAGTGTTGATGTCACACCAGAAGTTTAAAGTCAAGACTACAGCTAGGCCCCAGAGGCAATACACCCTTGACACCTTACTTAAGTTGTAGTAGAAATGTACAAATGGGCTAGTATTTGTAGTCTCGTAGATAAATTATAGTCACAGTTGTCAGATGAAGCAAAAGGACGTTTAGTCAACTTTGACTTTAAAATAAAGTTGAAAATGCAGTGTAAATATGTCACAGGTATGATCTATGTCCCATACTTTCAGATTTTAAAGGCTGTTTACATGCTGATAATGTGTTTCCTAATTATACATACCAAAAGAATCGCCTGATAAAAAGTTAAAGGTTCAATTGGATTGAGAACTCTAAATTTTGTAGCTTTAGCTTTAATAAGCTTGGATTTTTAGCTTAGAAACAAAAACAAAAGTATTATTTTGCATTTTCTCTGAAGAAATAAGTTAACATTTTTTTGAAAATGGAAGGCTGTCTTTTAAAAAAGTGTTAATTAGCAGAAGAAATTAACCTTGCAAAGCTGAGTAACTTAACTTGCTCAACTACCCTGCAGAGGAAGAAAGTGTTGGACCTTGTGAAACAATTGTTATCAGTAAGAGGCAGAGAGAAAGGAAGATTGCTAATGTCCAAGCTACTTTCGAGAAAGTTTCAGTTCCTGTAACACAGTAGGAAATACTTTAGCTAATAAGGTTAAATTATTTGGATAAATAAATTGGAAGAGGATAGCAAAACTTATGTGATAAAAGAATGTGTAACACATTATGAAAGTACCACAAGTGATATTAGAAAGCAGAAAAAATTACCAAATTTTGTTCCAACTGATCACATATTCAAAGAAATACTTAGGAAGGATTGAGTGATTGTATTTACACTGTTTTTCTAAATCAAAAGTCAGAATGGTTGTGCATCTTCTTTTGGTAAATGCACCATTAATGATGTATTGCAGTTGTATACATTGGGAGTCAGATTTCTGTGAGGTCTCATGCATTTCTGCATATCTAACTTCAAAGAGAGTTTTCTCTCCAAGGCAAAAATATGGATATGATTGCTACCATCCCTTTTAAGACACTGCTTTCCTTATATGGACTTCCTTCAGTGTGATAACAGATTCTGGTCAGCTCTGCTTTGTCCTGTGGGACTAGGCTCTTGTTGCCTCTTGTGCTTTGACTAACAAAGTCCTTTCTCTCTGACCCCAAAAATTCCATGCCTTATGCCAAATTCTATGAGACAGAAAGGCTAACTTGTTAGTTTGCAAATAGAGTGAAATATCAAATCCTTCAGAGCTCCTGGCAATGTATCTGTTTTTAGAGAAAAAGCTACCCCGGAAAGTAACTACCATAGAATAACCACCACAGAGTAGATACAGAGAGAATTTCAAGTGCAACAAAAATCTCCAAAAATGGAAAGTTTCACTTATAAATTTTCTGGTATTAAAAATAATTTTTAAAACATCCAGGTTGATTTTAAAATATTAGTAAAATTTGCTTTCATGATTCACTTAGTGTTCTATGAACAATAACACTTTATTAAAATATAATGTACTAAAGCCAATTTTAAGTCATGTATTTGTATTTCCAGAACAACACACATACTGGTCTAATGTGTGTATGTGTGTGTGTGTGTGTATGTGTGTGTGTGTTCTTTATTATTTTATTATTTTATTGTCAACATCTTGACAGAGGGGTTACAGTTACATAAGTAAGGCAATAAGTACATTTCTTGTTGAACTTGTTACCCTCCCTCATTTTTCTCCCACTTTCCCTCCCCCCACCCACCAAAGCTGTACAGATCATTTCCAACATGTTGTCTTGTGCATATTGTCCTTTGTGTCTTGCTTGATTTAGGTACCCTGGGTATTGTATATATGCTTATCTGAATTAGGGAAGAGAAGGGAAACAGCAAAAGAGTGAGATATAGTATATATTTTTGTACAATGAAAACTATACACAACAGTCACTGTGTGTTTTGAGGTGTTATTTTTTAAAATAGAAATATACTGGATGTATAATACCTATTATCTCCAATTTATGAATGTGAAAAGTAAAGTAGAGAATTATATTTCTCTTACAGTTGCATAATCAGTAATAAAGCTGAAATTAAAACCAAGCAATTTGGCCAGAGAATGTGGTCTCATACTGTATTTCTACTTCTTCCCTACCTCTAATTATAGCATTTCAAAGTATAATAAAAAGTCACTCCCAATACATAAAAAGGGAAGGTAAAGGATAGGAAAAATCTCAGTATGAAAAATATCTAGAGTAACAGATAAGGAAATACATTTGTTTTTACCAAGAAGAGTCAATCTAACCACTTACATTATATACTATACATGCTCACATGAATGCCTACCTGTGGAATTCCCTCTGAACTATGATGGCCTATGGACTTATCATGCATTTAGATATTTAGTTAATTATCTTACTCTCCCAAAAAATCGAAAAAGTTAAATTGATTATGCTTATCCTACCTACTGGTTGCCACCTAATTGCCTCTTTCCCTCTATATGAACGGAGTCTCAGGACACACATACAAGAGGTAAGAACACAAATCTTACTATTACTTATCAAATTTTCATTGCAGAAACAGAGCCTTTTCCTCATTGTGATAGTCAACTTTTTGCTGCTGTGTGTTTAACACCTTTCAGGGGAAAGGTTCATAGTTTCACATGCTTCAGTCCATGGTTAGCTGGCTTCATGGCTTACAGATATGTGGCAGGACAGAAACATCATGATGGAAGGGCCTGGTGGAAGAAGTAAGCTCCCCTCATGGTGGCCAGAAAGCAGGGGGTGGAGGGGGAAAAGAGAGAGAGGCAGAGAGAGAGAAAAGGAAGGACTTGGAATTCCATGTACTCTTCAAAGACACACATTCAATGGCCCATTTCCACACCTAGGCTTACCTTCTAAGATCTCATTTAGCTGAATGAACTAGACCATGGACAAAATCAGCATCCTTATGATCCAATCACTTCTGAATAGTGGCACTAGTTTAGGACCAAATCTTCAACACATGAGCTCTTTGGCACGTGTAAGTCATTTCCTATTCAAGTCTTAATACTCATATAAATCATTTATACTAAATATTTAAATAAAACTTATCAACTAATGAGAATGAAAAATAACACAGGTTGTTTTCTGTCACAAAAAAATCTAATTTACCTTGCATAATGTGTTAACTAATTACATTGCCCCAATTTATTTATTCAGCAGTGAGTTATTGAACACATGTAATATAACACTACTTTAGATAGGAAAAAAATACAGCAGTAAAGAGAAGGAGTAGTGATTGTTCATGCCAGTGAAGAGCTTACATTCAAACAAGGAGAAAAGACAGTAATAGTAAGATAATGAATATGGAAATTACACAGTATGTAAAAAGATGATAAGTGCTACTGGGAAAAAATGAAAATGGAAGAAAATTACGGGTTGGGAAATGACAGAATAAGTCACAGGATTAAATAGAATACTAAACATAGCCTCATTATAAAGGTGAATTTAGAACAATAACCTGAAGGACATGAGCAGGTTGTGTTCATAGATATATGTCAGAAAAAGAGTGCCAGGAAATATTAAAGCTAAATTCCCAAAGCAGGAGTTTGAGTGAACTGTTTGATAATGACTAGGAGTCCTGTGGCTTTGGAGTAGATTAAGCCAAATAGAGAGTAGTAGAAATAATTATAGAGCAGGGCCATTGAAGCAGATCTTTTCTCTCACATCTTTTATTCCTACTCTAGGTGACACAGCAAACCACTACGGAACGTAATATGACAATTTAGAAAAGATTGTTCATTCTGCTGTGGTGATTGTAAACTGAAGCAAGATCTGTGAACAATCTGTTTGTGGCCTACAGAGGGTGGGGAGAAATGGTGAGATTGTTAGTCTAGTAGTAAGGAAAAACCAGAAGTATTTTCTTAAGCTTCTAAATTTTCCCTTTAATATCCTGGTGAAACCTGGAGAAGCAGCTATTTGAGATGGGACCAAATCAAGAATCAGTACTGAACATGTTAAGTTTGAATTGTCTGTGAGATTAACTGACTGGCTCAGACAAATTGTTGGTCTAGAAATGAATAATTGAACAAGTGGGTCCTGCTGCAAACCACTCAATACTCTTCAGGGACTGTGTTTTATTCTTCCCTTCATATGAATCAACCATTGAGAAATGACAAACAACTCTCCACCGCACTCCTAGGCTGGAAAACTGATCCAGAACAATTTTAACTGAGAACTAATTGATACTGCTGGCTATGAAAGTAGCTCAAAAAAAATCAATGAGTATTAGAATTAACTTTATGACTCAGTGGATTAAATATATAGCTTACTACATATGACATATGTAATAGCTTATTACATTACTTCTATATCTGTGTAGCACTTGAGAAAGCTCACACAGTGTCTTATTCGGCTCATGGTCTAATGACAGAATACCATAATGCAAACAAACGATTTGTTTCTCATTATTCTATAAACTGGAATTCTAAGATCAAGATTTCTTGGGTTAGTGCATGAACATGGGTCAATCCTTGCGAACAGCTGCTGTCTCTCTAAGTCCTAATACCATATCTGCTTGGTAGGTGCACTAATCTTAGTACAGAAACCACTTTATGACCTTATCTAACCCAATGGCCACTTAAAAGCATCATCTCTAAATACTATTATCAGGAGTTATAGTT